AGCACACCCACTTGCTCACTGAGGCAACATTTAATGTGCCCGGAGCCCACTGCCTTTGTGAGGAGGAAGTCTTGCTGCCCCCTGCAAATTTGACTGCTAGGCAGGGGGCAGAAGAAGCTGCTTTCTAATCAGTTGATGCTTCTGTCCATTGAGACTCGGATGGTCTTCTCCAGCCTTTTCTAACCCGGGCCCAGGGCCAGCCTCAAGGCTAGGCATGGCTGAACATCTGTGGACGTCCTACACTCTGACAGGCGTTTATGAAGAAAAGATCCCAGTATTGTTTGCTTTGACTCAGGCGAAGGAGAGGCAGGAGCTGACATGCCCCAGGCCCCTGGCCTGCTGGCTCTCTCTGCCTGCCCAGCAAACAAGAGCTGATGATGATGATGAGGAGGAGGAGGAGGAGGAGGAGGAGGAGGAGGAGCCAGAGCAGCTGCAGGCAATGGTGGTGGGAAGGCCAGTGACTGGGGAGCAGAACCCTACTGATGTGTCTTGCCCAAGGGCTCTCAAAAACCTGAAGCTGACACTGGTCCAGCCTCCCTCTGTTATTGAATTGATGAATACTCCACCAATGATTTTATTTAAAAAAATCTGAGTGGTTTACCAAAAATAAACCAAAAGAAAAGAAAAGAAAAGGAAATTAAATATACTATAGGCTATTAAATTAAATTTAAATTGGATTATGATTGAATTTAACTATAAATTAAATGCTGCTAGTGATGCCCTCACTGCTCAGAAGCCCCTACACGTGTGACCCTCCAGTGCAGAGTGGAGTTCTGTCTCTCCAGCGCTCCCTTTCCCGCTGTCTGGCTGGAGTGCTTCAGAGTGGAGGGACTCCCAGGAGGCGAGAGCACCACCAGGATCTCTTGGATCATGGGGGCTCCAGTCTCTCCTCTGCCCCCAATGCCCCCTTTATTCCCCTTCCAAGGTTGGTTCTTTCCACACAGGCTGCAAGGGGAGAGGTGGGTCAGCGGGCCATTCAGGTCAGAGCTCTGTTTTCAAGCTTGGATCTCGAAATCCAAAGTGTCCTATGACCCAATTAATGCTGCCTGGGGGACCATAGGATTTCTCTAAGATGCATTAGGATAGACATTGAACGATGTACTGAAACCTTTATTTAAAATCTGAATGAAGACATTAATGCCAGGGCAGCCCACAATTATAAATGGGCCAACTCAGTCGCACTCTTGTGTTTTGGACTCTAATACGCAACTGGTGGGGCCAAGCATGGTCAAGCATGATGGGAGCTGGAGTCCTCAAAAAAGAGGGTGCCCCAGGTGGAAAAGTGGCCCTGCGGGGTTGCCAGCAGAAGATGTTCCTGCCCACCACCCACTCCTTCAAGCAAGCTGGAAACGGCGGGTGACCTGGGGGCCTTCTCCGTGCCAAGCAAACGCTTGGTCAAGGACGGATAGGCCTGACCCTAAGGGATAAATGAAGAAGCTGTTTAAAATTGCATCAGGCTGTTGATCAGTCTAGCTCAATATGACATGTTCTGACTGGGAGCTCCCCTCCCAGAACTCGGACAGAAATCCTGCTCAGCTTTGCAACTGCCACCTCCCAAGGCTGGAAGCTGGATCTTGGCTGCAGGAAGTTGTCTTGCTGGTCCAACCTGCTCAGCCTTGCGTACAGTGCCAGGGGAGGGCAACTTTCAAGATCGCCAATCCAGGCCTTGGAAGCCCCACCTGTTCTCCTCCCATGCCCAAGCCCTACTTCCACCAGGGGCTTTGTGAAGAAGAGGGGAGAGGCAGCCATTATCCACCTGGAGATCACAAAGGGTCCTTGCTTGTCCTGCAATGTTTGCCCAACAGGGAAAGGCACAGGATGAGCAAAGAAGCTGTGCCAAGCTTGGGCCTTCTCTGGTGGAAGAAGCTGCCCATGCAGGAAGCCACTTCCCAGCGATTTGCTCCTTGGGGAGTGTGTTGTGGAACTGGGGAGTGTGGGGTGTTGCTGCCCTTGGAGGAGCACAGTCAGAAAGCAAAGGCAGTGGGATTTTGTTGGGTTGTTCTGTTTCTATGTCTCTATATTGGTGAGAGTGTTCAAGGATAGGCCAGACATGCACATGGTGGTCATGTCATGAGTCAGCTGGAGCCGGGGGTCAGACTAGATGGCCCTGGAGACCCCTTCTGACTCACTCTGTTTCTATGTTTCTCTGCTATGCCAGAAGAACCCAGAGGCAACAGGAGAGGCCCACAGTAGCACCCCACTATTCTCTGGTCAGCACCCCCCACCAGGGGGGTGCATGTAGGATTCCCCCTGATATACTGATTGGAATTAGGGCCATGCTTTCCCCTGCTTAGAAAAGTCTTGGCCAATTTAGTCTTGGTTAGTTGGGTTACTTAATCCACGGAAATGATGCAAATGTGCATTGGATTAAAACAATAACTTCAGAAGACAGACCCTAAGATTGGGGTGTGTTTTCAGTTTTTCTGGGGCAGATCTGCAGGTGGATTGGTACAGGTCAGCAACCAATTGCTCGACTTGATAGGGGCAACTTAAACATGAATCAAAAGTCAAATCAAAAGTATAAACCATGCCAGAATTTGGTGCTTGGATCTGAATACATTGATTAAAAAAACAAAACAAAACGAGTCTAATTTTTAAAAAATTCAGTAGTTTTGAGAGCAGCTTTTCTTAATAGTTGACTTAACCAGGAAGAATCAAGAGCACATCATCATCATCATCATCATCATCATCATCAATGAGAACACACATTCTCTTCATGCCACTCATGCTTTGAAACCTGCATTGGCATGAGAAGAACAGCCAGACCTTTGCTCTGGCATCTTGCTTGGACAATGATTGAATGCCTGCACCCAGAGCTAGGCCCAGATCCACCTGAGAAGCAGTTTAAAGAGGGATTGCTGAAGCTGCCAACTGCCATGCCCTTGAGTGGCCTTTCTAAGAGACAGAACAGGGAGGTGTGCTTTACGGAATACCATTTACCTGTGAAATACCCTCTTGGGAAATCTAGTCAAGCCAGGGCATTGGTTACATGATATCTGATTGGTTGGACTGCAGGATCCCAGCCAATCAAGGATCCCACAGCCAGTAAGAAGGACACTGTTTTAAAGAACTGAAGCAGTTGGAAAAGGTAGGGGCAGTGAACTGTGGCAAATAGAAGCTACTGGCACTGCTGGACAGATTAATAGACATTTTTCAGCCTCCACTAGTAGATTGCCCACCGCCTCCTCCTCCTCCTCCTCCTCTTCATCATCATCATCACCACATTTCTGCTCTGCCTTTTTGCCTTTCAGGGAACACAAAGCAGCTTCCATCATTCTTTCTCAATCTTATCCACACAACAACAACCCTGTGAAGTAGGTTGGACTGTGAGTGTGACTGGCCAAAAGTCACCCTGGGAACTTTACGGCTGAGTGGGGACTGGAATCCGTGCCTCCCAGTCCCACACTCTTAACAGTGCACCACACTTATGTATTGCCAAATACACTTATGTATTGCCAGAAGAGAAAAAAATGTCACCAAATAAACAGGAGGACACAGATGTACACAAAAGCTGCACATGCCAGTTTCAGTGTGTGCATGCCCATTCAGATATAATTATGAGTGTATAAATAGGATCCCAATCCGTCTCACCACAGCTGGGGAGATTGTGTCTGGGGAGGCTGCGTACTTGTGGGGGGGGGGCTCTGAGGCCGCCCCTGCACATTCCCTTCGGAGGGTCCTTGTTCTTTCAGCCAGATTTGGACAGCGCTTCAAACAGAGGACTGTCCCCTGAGCAGCTCCTTCAAAGGAAGCCTGTCTGCTGTAAAACAGTGTCAGAAGGCTCTCCTCACACCAAAAGGGTTTGCCCTCAAAATTCACCCAAGTTCCTGTTGCTTGTGGTGGTGGCTTGCTGGGGTAGGAAGAGCCTCTCTTGGCGGGCTTCTTCAGACTTGACACAGCAGAAATGTCTAGGAACTGGCCAGGGACACGACGCCTGGGGCCCAAAACCAGCCTGCATGGCTGCTCTGGCGGGGCTGGCGCTGATGGGAGGCATTGCTGGGCGCCCAGAGCCACAGCAGCTCCAGGCAGGGCCTGCTGGACCTCCTCCTCCCCAGCCACCGGCTTGCTCACCTGCCTCTTGCTCTGGCCAGACCGTGGTGGAGGTGCGGAGGGGGAGGAGGGGCTGTGGCTGCCTCGCCCGCGGGCTCCCTGCTTGTCTAGCAGGCAAGGGGTTGCCGTCGGGAGGAAGAGGACGAGGATCAGAGCAGCCGGGGATGCTGCCCGTGAGAAGGGAGACTTCCTGAGGAGCAGGGCCATGGCGGTCTTCCCCGTGGGCCCGCAGAAGCCTGGAGCCGGCCTTTGACATTCGGCATGCCCCCAGTGGGTTCACATGGCACAAGCAACACCAAGGGGCCACTGGGGCCCTTGATCCAGGGGGGCCCTTGGTCCAGCCCCAGAATGCCAGTCCCATGGAAGGAATAATGTTGGGGGACTTTTCAGAGCTGTTGTAAAACCACCGCTCCAGTGCACACCACGAGCACTGGGTGCATACAAAGCAGCACTGAACAAGTGTTGTGCATTATTTTTAAGCACTGATGGCATGCTACAAATGTCGTTCCCCCCCCCCCCACTGCATCTCAGAGCCAGGCAAATGCTGTGTGCACCAGACTTCCCTGACCTGGTGCCCTCAAGATGGGCTGACTGCGCCAGAATCCCTTCCCCAGAGCATTCGAGGGAATCTGACTGCACAACAGGTGCCGAGGTGTGGAAAAACTGGTTATCGCCATCCCTACCTGAGGACAAAGGTTAAAGATTTGTTTCTACTGCGGAAGTCCCAGGTCCCGCTGCAGAAGCGTCCTGTGCCAGGTGCCCTTCCCAGTTCTCACACGATCCGATCTCCTCCTCCCCAGAACACTTCCCCACCCCCACTCTCTGGATAGCCGCTGACATGGATGCCTCCGCAAGCGGGTTTTTCCAGAATCTTCTGCTCTCTTCTCGGATGAGACGCAAGCCCACGGTGCAGCACAAGTCCTGGCTCCCAGTTCCCGGAGGAGGCTTGTTCGAGAGCAGCTGTTGCACAATCCTATCCAAGGAGCAGGAATTGCATGTAATGATACAAAAATAAACCATTTTTAAATAAAGAGAATGTTAGAAACCGCATGTAGACCAACCGCACCCTCTCCGGCGAATGTCTTGGCCTTGCATCCTGGCCTGAGTAGGCCTAGCCAGGAGACCAAGCTAAGCGGGGCTGCTCAGAAAAACCATCTTGGAGGAGTACACCAAGTCCACAATGTAGGCGATGAGATTGAAGAAGGACAGGAAGGTCACTCCCAGGCGGTTGTTCCAGGACATGCACTGAGGTTCAGATGGGTGACAAGAAGGCTTTGACTTATTTTTGAAGCTATAGATGGGCCAAATGATGGCTGCCGTGAGGTACATGAGCACGGCCAAGATGTTGAAGCCCACCAGGAACTTCTCCACGGGGAGGGGTAGGTAGGTGAGGCAACGTCCGATGGTGAGGACTAGAATGAGCACGGTGACAATAAAGCAGATGCAGTAGACAGCGAGACACCACTGCAAGCCGGGAAAGTCCTTGTAGTACGGAGTGGCATCCACCAAGGAGAAGATGAGGCAAGCCACGTAGGCCTCAAACACCTTCAGGAGGCCGGGAACGGTGGCGAGGAAGCTGCTGACTTCTCCGGCTTTGGCCTGGGTCAATCCCACTTCAACAGCATAGGCGACAAAGCACAAGCAAGAGACAGCAGTGGCTGCACCCTCGTAACTGCACTTGTGGCTTCCGCTTCCGGGACTTGCACACTTGTTTGGTATGAAGACGGACGGGTAGACGATGGACGTGGTGAAGATCATGAGAGTGGCCAGCATGGAGAAAGCAGAGATGAAGTCTTCCCAGGAGAGCGGCAGCGACTGAGCCAGGCCAATGAACTCCATGACCACAATGAAGATGGAGACGGTAAAGCAGAAGCACCACGTGAACATGGACCAGGCCCCGTAGGAGGTGCTGTAGCTTTGGTGGACGGCCACCAGGCTGAAGGCCGTGCAGGAAAGGAAGATTTCGAATAACCGGACGATCCCCAGGGGAGAGGTGAGAGAGCGGGGGTTGAGCTCAAGTGTCACCATGATGCTCCTGAGCCGGAGGACCTTCTACGGCAAGCGCATGGGAGACCCCGGAGGCAAGAGGCGGCAAGGCTGGTGCGGGCTGAGGAGCTGGAGGAAGGTTGCTCCGCTGTTCGTGGTGTGTGTGCTCGGCACTGAGGGAGGGTGCTGCCCTGAGGAGCAGAGGAACGCCCAGTGGTGCTGGAAGGGCTGGCCTTCCCTCCTTGCCAGGGGGAGGGACCTGCTGGCCAGGTGGGGGAAGCACACCCACCCGTGGGTGCCCGTAAGCACTGCGGAAGTTCTCGCACTCTTGTTCAACAGGGAAGTACAAGAAGCCAAGCCAGCACAGAGGGACTGCCTGGCCACAGGGTTCCCTTTCCCTTTCTGGGCAGCTCTCCCTCCATCTGAGCAGCTCTTCCAGTCCAGTTCTCTCAGGGCAGGAATGTGCTGGGAAGCGGTGCCAGGGGCGGGCCGAGGGCAGGCAACGAGGCAGGGAGGGTGTTCCGAAAGGTGTTTGTTTTTCGGCCTTTCATGCTATGCTCCTTTTGGCTCAGAGCAAGAAACCTGTTTTGGAAGGGAGAGGCAGGTAGATGATTATCGAGGGAAAGGGTTGCCAAGTAACAATGCCTCCAGCCTTGCAGACTTGACAGGCTGGCAAGAAAGCATGCCTGTGTCCCCGTCGGTCAGGGAGAGTCAATATGGTCAGTTACCAGAGTTTCTGGGGTTGCAATCCAGAACATCTTACACTGAGTGAAACTGGGAACAATCCAGGGCTGAAGCAAATGGAGGGAACAATGGAAGCAGCCTTATCCTGAGCCAGGTCCTCAGGTCATCCAGCCCAGTATGACCGGCTCTGAGTGGCAGCAGCTTATCAGATATTCTGGCAGGATTCCTTCCTGGCTCTCCGCGAAGATGATAGGAACTGAGCCCGGGGCCTTCTGCATGCGGACCAGGGGCTCTGCCCACGAGCTGTGGACTGTTCCCTGGAGGGCTGGCCCTTGGGAGGGCTTGCCTTCAGCCGGCGGCATGTCAGAATGGCTTCTAGCTCTTACGAAGGTTCCTGGGGAAACACCCAGCTGCCTAGACGGCCAGAGCCATGGCTGCCTTCTGGAGCACTGGCCCACGGAAAGAAAGGCATGGCAGAGCCACTGACAGGCCTCTGGGCACTTCGGAAGGTCGGCTGGAGTTCCATTTAGGAAAGCACGTCCTCCGTTCGGCACTGCAAGATGGACTGGGCAACCTGTGCAGATGATTGTTTTGCTGCTTTGCATGAGCTTCGGACAGTCCTTTCTTCTTTCTGGAAAGCCTCTCTGCACCTGGCTGAGAAGGCGGCCCTGCAGCGTGACCCCTGCTGCTCCCCCAGGGCCCAGCTCAGCAGTGGTGGTGGTGATCTTGGGAATGGTGACAGCACTGGTCCTAATCTAATCTAATCATATCATTATTTTAATATCTTGCTGAGAATATATATATAGTTTAATTTTGCTTATTTATTACAATGTTTCTATTGTATTATTTTATTAATGCTATTATAAATATTTTATTGTAATGGTTGCCCAGACAGCATTAAGCTAATGGGCAGCTTTTATACAAATTTAACAAACAAACAAATAAATAGTAAAAGTGGCCCCAAGACACCCCCCCTCCCCCGGTCACCCAGGCCTGCAGTGAGCATGATTGAATGTCCGCAGCTTTGGAGCGTGAGTGCCCTTTTCTCTTTCTCTTGCTCTGCTTATCCTCTTGCCTGGTTAGGAGCTCTGCAGTGCAGGAAAACTTGCGCAGCACAGAAACGGGTGTTGTTCACCTCCTTTTTAGAATGAAGCAGAGGCGTCTCCTGTTCAGAATGGGCACGTGGCTGATCCCCACATGCAGCACAAGGACTCTGGACAAGGTCCCTGCTCCGTGCCAGCCACTCTTCTCCAGCAGCAGTGACAGCTTTGTACATCGCGGGTCCAGAAGTACAGGCTGGAGAAACGCACGTCACTGCCAAGGCTGTGCCCTCCAAGGAGCTCCCGCCAAAGGTATCGCAAGAGGCTGAATGAAACCGAGCTCTCTTTTGCCTTTGCTGGGTGGCAGTACAGAACCAGACTGTAACCTGATAGCACAGCATCTGGGAACATCTGGCTGTATCTGCCGTCTCCTTTGTTCTCAGGACAAACAAACCAACATCTAAACACCAAGCTCAGATAGACCAGAGCAAACAAGACAGTTTAATTTATGTTTTGGGGTGGCCCATTTAGGGCTAAACACAGCACTAAGTTAAATATTGAAGCATGCCATTTTACTGATTACGGTACAAACACACAGGGTTCCCAACCAGGCCCTATTCTTCACATGGGTAGGAGTGATTTAAACCTCCTTCACATGTGTCACTGCCTCTCCCTACACCTCTGCTCCCACGGGAACTAAAAAAAGAAGGAAAAACCCCGATGGTTGCCTGTGTAGTGTTCTTTCCATTTTTGGAGTCTTCCGGGGAGTGGTGTTTGGGGAGAGGCCCGCTCAGTTCGGTTCATATTCTATGCTAAGCAGCTGCAAGTCCAGGAGGGGTCAGGCTGAGGAGTTACCACAGTATGGGCAGTGGATGAAGCATCTGGCAGCTTAGGAGGCTTCCAGAAGAGGGACCGAGGCCTCGCCAAGGTCACAACTAAAGTAGCTGCCAGACAATACACAGGCCAAGAGGCACAGCCAGACAGGAGCGAGGGGTCAGTGGCACAGAGGAAACCACGAGGCAAGGCCAAGAAGGATGAATGCTAGAGCTAGAGAAGTGTCATTCCAGCAACTGCTAGCCTGAAACCGAAGGCTCATACAGTCAGCGCTTCCTCAACCCAATCTGGGGTTCAGTGGCAGTTTGCTACTCAGGAGAGGGGCGTCTCTCCCAAAGAATCCCTTCCTCTTGAGGAGTCCTCCTGTATGGTAAGCACTTCTCAAAGAGACCTACTGGGCTGCTTCTTGAGGAATCCTCGATCTTGGACACCTAGCCCTCACCTTAAAACAGAACTGCTGCAGCAACAAACCTGCGCCTGCTGGCCTGAATGCCCAGGCGCCCCAGGGTGAGCTTGGTGGGGGCTTGGGGGCTTTGGCATCTACAGCACTAAATCCTCAGAGGAGGATTCTCCTGGTGGGAGCGTGGCAGGAGGCAGAACCTCCACTGCCTATGTGCAGTGGCCCCAATCCAAGCTCAGCGGAAGGGAAACAGAAAGGTAAGGCTCACCAACAGCTAGGCAGCAATTTTGAAAAAGACGACCCCAACCGTAGTTGGAAGCAAACTGTTAGCTGATGTCCTTAGGTCTATGAGGCTTCTTTCCAAAAAGCATGTATTTCTGTGCCCTAAATACAGTCACTCACTCTTAGCCTAACCTACCTAAAAGGGTTATCGTTAGGATAAAAATTGAGCTATGTAAACCGGGTTGAGTTCCTCACCCGAGGAAAAAAGCTGCAATTTACCAGGATCGACGACAGTGACGTGTGACTGAAATGTGTGTTTTCATGGCCAATGTATTTTTTCTTGAAGAAATGAGAGCTAGTTTGAATGCACAGATCTGTATTGTGACCCCATTGTCCTTGGAAGTCCGGTAAGGGTCCCTTCCCTGCCCATTTTGGGAGAGAGCAGCAGAGCAGCCTGGCACCCCCTTCCGAAGCTCTGGAGGCCAGAGATGGTCCGAGAGGGAGACCGAGAGAGAGACTCGCCAAGTGCTGAGCAGCAGTGCAGGGTAAACCTGAAGCGTGTTCCCTGTTTCAGGACGGTCCTGGTCCGTCACATGGCAGGCATGACTGGGACAATCCACAAACCATTATTCCCAGTCTAGCAATGGTGCAGGCAGCTCAGAGTCCTTCAGATGCCTCCACTCCACGTCCCATTTGCCCCACTGCCGTTGCCTGAGGATCATGGGGGCTGTAGTGCAAAGCATCTGGGGGGCACCAGGCGGTCTGCTGCTAGTCTAGAGTTACGCCAGGGACTTTGTCCTTGGCATCCTTCAATTCTAGACAGCTATGGACTCCCTATGACTTTGGGATGTATTTTGGGTGGCCACAGGTCCTAATTTAGAGCGGACAGTCCTCTGCTTGAAGGGCTGCCTAGCCTACGTGCAGTTTTAGGATAAAGAACACTAAGAAAGAGGAGCGCATGGCTTTTCACGCTGCCCATGTGCAGCCCCCGGGGAGCTGCCTGAGCAGATGTGCCCGTTCTCCAGTTAGTCTTCCCGACTGTGGCCAGACCTGCTGCTTTTTTAACAGTCATTCTTTCTAAATGTGTATCTATCCATCTATCTAAATTATCTACGATTTACATTAGCAACTGAGACTTTTATACAGGGGTGTCCTTTTTGCCCTCTTTGGGGATATATTTCTCAGGCTCGCCGGTGTCCGGGTGGCCTCCCCAAACAGATCACAGTGACTGGGTTCGGATGCCTCCCCTCTGAGTCGTTGTGTGTCATTTAAAGCACAATAAGCTGCTGCACCCACAGGCACTAGTGTGTTTAGGCAACCCCTGCTTGAGCAGGAGTAGTATGTTAAAAATGGAGGCTGTATCAGCCACACACACACACACACACACACACACACACACACACACACACACAGAGTCATTGCCTGGCTTTCAATCAGCACTAAAACTGAACAGCATTCAAAGAAATGGAGGAGGAAAGAGCAGCACCGGAAGGAAGGAGGAAGGGGTGTTCACAATGAAATTGTAAAACCACTCCAAGTAGATTTATTTTTAAATTCACAAAAATGTACGTAAAATGAGCTAAGCTTCCCCCAAGCCCAAGTTTACCCTGAAAACATTTGGAGATCAGTGCTGGTCGGGCTAGCCAGTTGCAGTCATTGCAAATAAGATCCCTTTGCCACTCAAGTGGTGGAAAGGAAAGAAAGCTGCAAGTACCAACATGTGCCTATTGGCAAGAGACAGTGTGGTGTAGTGGGCAGAGTATCAGAGCAGGCCTGGAAAGAGTCGGGGTCACCTCCCACACTGCTCCCAAGCTCACTGGGTAACGTTAAGCCAGCTGCACCCTCTTGCTCTCAAGTCTGCTCTACCCCACAGGGTTGTGATGCTGAACTGGGAGGCAGGGAGTGAGACAGAGGCCCTTGGGGAAAGCTGCTGGGCAAATGCAGGAAGGCCTGTGATTGCAATCGTGCGTTATGAGTGTGCCTTGTCTTTGCCCATCCACACAGGAAAATGGTCTTAGCTTTGGAGTTTGGACTGTAATGTATTGATCGACAACAGGAAGGTTTGGAAGAAAACAACTGGGCCATCATAGGGATTGCAAAAGTGATCACTAAGGGGAAAGGCAAACCCCTCAGGCTGTGGCATATGCAAAACCACGAGTGGGGGTGAGAAGGAATGGTCCTTGTGGCAATGTCTGAGCCCATTTTGTAGCACAATGTACTGATGCATACAGAGAGTTAAACCTGTACATGTGCATGTGTGTAACAGGCAGCCAATGAACCCATCTCTTTTTGGGAAGATACACACCCTCATGCTCGATCGCTTGCTCACCTGCACAATTCCATCTCAAAGCACCTGGTTTTCTGTGGCCTGTTGGCAACTGATGTGGACTGTATTGATTAGCAACAGCCACTTAAATTGCTTGGCAAAGCGCCACTCTGGTTCGTAATCCCCACCCCCCCGATCCAGGTTGACAGGGATTATTCTGGGCATTGCCAGTGAAAGCAGGCACTGTCCAAAGATGGGTGTAAGCGCCTTGCACTTCACCCTTAATATTTCAAAGATTGTAAAGTGTGGGGCAATGGACGGAGCCCAGCACTTGGGACTCTGGAGAACTGGGTTCAAATCCAAACTCAGCCCTGAAACACGCCGATGGGGCGCCTTGGGACGGTCACTACCTTCAGCGTAGCCTGCCTCGCAGGAGCCTCATGAATAAGAGGGGACTGTGTCGACCAGGAGTGGGTAATGTGGTGCCCATGGACACCGATGGAGCCCCAGACACCTTCCTTGGCACCTGCTTGGGCGGGGCGCTGGTGGTGCTGAAAACTGTGGGTGCAAAAGAGTTGAGTATGTTGGGCCCCAGCCTCGTACCTGCACTGTCTCAGCCTTTGGGGCAGCGGACTTGACCTTTGTCATGCCTCCCATCTTGTGATGGTGCCCGGGATGGGTTTTCTCATTGCCAGATGCACCCAGGGCTGCAAAGGTTGCCAGCACCCAAGTGTACAGTCCTGAGCTCCTTGGAGGACAGGTGGGCTACCTTTATTTTTCTGTCTGATAATCAGAGATTATTCTTGTTCCTGTAATTTTAAATAGAAAGGCTTTTGTTCTCGCCATGCCTATGAATGCACTTAATTTGTTCCAGATCCAGCAAAGCCATAAAGCAAATGTTTCATGGTGACCCCAAATCAGAGAGGAATCTCATCTGCTTTACATTAATTCTTGCATCCGTAGATCCTGTTCACCCTGCCTGTGCCTCCCTCTTGCTTTCTCTTCCAAGCTGCTTGCACTGACAAAAGAGATTCCCCTCCTTTCCCCAAAAACGAAACAAACACACTTGCACAAACTTCCTTGGGATCTTTCCAGTTATATACTCAGGAGCTAGATGAAAAGACTCCTCCCTGGATGACGCCCAGCAATTGGACCCAATTCGCAGAAGGGATGAACCCAGAACAGGCAAAAGCTCCAGGCCAGTTTAGACACAAGAAGCAAATGTCCAGGTTTTAAAGTGGAACTTGCCCAGGCATCAAGAAAGAGGTTGTCTCTGTGTGCAGGTGAGGCAAGGTAGTGGTGTGCCGAGGAAGGACTTCAGATGTTTTGGACTTCAGCTTCCAGCATGCCTGGCTATTGGCCATGTTGGCAGAGGCTTCTGGGATGTGAAGTCCAAACCTCCTGGATCCACCGCCTGCTCACACCTGGATTAAGCACTGGCACAACATTCCTGGGTTCGGTGCTCAAAAACATTTGTAGCCTCTGCTATGGTGTAACTCTGTGTGTTCACTTGTATGCTCATATTTCTGTAGTACTGCCAGATGCCCCACAAGGAAAATAAACCCTGGATGATGATGATGATGGTATAATGCAAGGAGGACATAACAGGTCCCATTGCCAGTACTCCCCAAGTGTTTCCTTCCAGCCAAGGTCACTGTGGAAGCAGAGCTTCGGGGAAAAGTTTTCATGCCGGGAATAAAGAGCAGCCAGTGCTGCATGTGTGTACCTGCAGTGAGGCCACCGTGCATGGGAGAAAGTTGCTCCTGCCCCCACTGCACCGCATGGATGCGTGTGCCACCATCCCGGTGCTAATCATGAGGCTGCACACCTGTGGGCGTGCCGGGAAGGGAAAACAAGGGGCCCATTGTCTGCCTTGGCTGTCTTGGCACCTTCTTTGGTATCAGGGCTGGAGTGTTTGCCTTGTGACATAGGGGCAGGCAATGTTCTTACGTGCATTCGGGCTCCCGGGCTGCTATGCTTTCCCTTTATCAGAAGCCCCCTCCCCTGCCCTGGGTGTAACAGGGAACGGGCCCCTGCTCTACTCCCCAGAAGAAGTAAAAGTACCCAGGCCAAAACCCCAAGAAATCCTTCTAAATGGCTCTTTAATGTGCTAACTGGAGACTTACAAGATGCCTCAGAGCTTTGCTTTTGTCCAGTAATGTAAATGCGACAGGACGGAAACACGCGAATGGCGGCTGGACGGCTCCTGGGAGACGCTGAGCTCCCCTGTGCTGCTGCGCCGGAGCCAGCAGAGGGGAGACGCCCCAGCCCTGCCTCTCCCTGGGGCAAGAGGCCGCGGGGGCTGCTTCGCTCCAGCCATGGTTGGCCACTGAAGCCGCGCAGGGTCCTCTGGGGCAGGGCTGCCTTGCGCAGGGGTGTTGCAGGAATGCCCCTTCTGCCGCAGGCTTGACCAGCAGGAGAGGGCAGTCCCTTGGAGCGGTCCCGGCCGGGCAGGGAAGCCGCTGCGTTGCCAGCAGGGCCTCTGCGCGGCCTCGCGGGGCGTCTCCGGTGCTGCAGGCCCAGCCCGGGAGCGTCTGGCACAGGAACCGGGCAAGCTCGCAGGGCCCGGGAGCTTCATCTTGCCCTCTGCACGCGCTCTGCTCTGCACTGTGCCCCCAGCCAGTGCTCATGAGAAGGGGCTTTCCTGGGCTTGCTGGTTGTTTGGAAGGGGGCGGCAAGAAAATGAAGAGGCCTGGCTGTGCGTTTAGGGGTGGCGGGGGACTCACGGAAAGGCCCAGTGGCGGTGGGGAGGGCCTGGCCAACACTGGGGCTGATCTCCTCCCTCTGGCAGGGGGGCAAGCCCGCACAGGTGGGGAGGAGGCCTCTCGGGGGCCAGACGCCCTCTAGGTCGGGAAGCAGAGGCCTGGCGTGAGGCAGTGGCCCAATAAAGACCCCAGGAAATGAGGGGCGGGCCCCCATCTACCCAGTTCCTTTTCTCTGAGGAGGAAGATGGAGGGAGGAAAGCAGCCGGCGGGGATGTCAAGGTCAGGGGGTGCTACTTACATTCAAGGAAGGGATGTGGGGCAGGGTGGGGAACGTCTTTCAAAACGGCTCCCACAGATCTCAGGAGAGGGAACTGAAATCAGTCCAGAGAAGTGACTGGGGGGTGGGGGGCTGAGTCTGGGGAGGACAGGGGAGGCCCCACTCTCCCTGCCGCTCAGAGGTGGCTCTCCGGCTCTCCGTTGACCGAGCTCGGCGCCAGCTGCTCGCCAGCCTTGCTCGTCCGGTTGCTCTCGTTGAGGCGCTGCACACGGTACCGCTCATAATGCACGTTGTGGGTGATGTCCTTGAGGTCCTGCAGGTGGGACCTGAGGAAACGGAGAGGTTGGAACGGGCGTTTGCAAGGACCTGGTGGCTTCCCCCGCTCGCTTTGGCCAGTCCAGAAAGCCTTTTCCCTCACACCAGAAAGAGACTGAGCAATGATCGCTGCAGCGTCAGGTCCCCGTGGAGCCCGGAGAAAAGGGGACCATCTCGGCGGCATTGCATGCTTCGGATGTAGCCCGGTGGGTCTAGGGAGGCTGCCCTTGACAGTGGGGAGACCTTAGCTGCTCCAGAATGCCGGAGCCAGGCTGCCGGCCCGGGCCAGGTGTCAAGTGCCATGTTTCTGGGCCCAGTCCAAATGACCGGTTACGAAGAATAAGGCCTTGCAGAGGTTGGGCCCAGGTTACCTGAAGGACCACCTTCTCCTTATGAGCCTGCCTGGGCTGTAAGAGCTCCGGGGAAGGCCCTTCCCTCATTAGCGCTGCTTTCAGAGGCAAGTTTGGTGGCAACGTACAAGAGGGCCTTGTTGGTGGCCGCTCCTGGGTCGCGGAACTCCCTGCTGAGGGCGCCTGGCCAGCTCCCTCTCAGCTGTCCTTCCAGCGGCAGTGACCACTCAAGAGGCCTTTGGCCTGCCGAACAGTCCATTGGACTGGGTGCTGCTTCACTGTTACTCTGAGTTTTATTTATTTATTTAGGATATTTCTAGGCCGTCCATCATTTTTGTCTCTGGACGGCTTACAATATCTCTGGATGGCTTACCGTACAGTGTGTTTTAACACATTTCTTTCATTACTACTTTAATCGCTTTCAAAGTTTCTGTGACTGTAAGCCTCTTTGGAATCCTTTTCTTGCTAGAACAATGGGGTGCCAATCCAATGAATAAATACGGAGTAACAGGAGAGCTGCCTCCTTCTTGGGGCGGCTGGGGTGCTCTAGCCCTGCCCTGATGCAGATGCACCCAAGGGCCACGAGTGCGGGGCAAGTTGTCCCATGTACCGCCATCTTAATTCCAGTGCGGGGCAAGTTGTCCCATGTACCGCCATCTTAATTCCAGTGCGGGGCAAGTTGTCCCATGTACCGCCATCTTAATTCCAGGAGCAGTCCAGACTGAGACAGCCCTTGGAGGCACAGCAGAAGAGGCCCCCCAGTCTCGGCCGGTTCCACCTCCTCCCGCCCAGCCCCAGAGCCTTCTTGATCACCCCAAGGGCTCCAGGAGGAGCAGCGGCTGTGGGGCTGCGCAGAAGCCCAGAGCCAAAAGTGCCCGCCTGCTTTCAGGAGCCTGCTCATCCCTGCACAGGAGGAGGAAGCCGGGCTCCTTGCGTGTTCTGGCTCGGGGCTTCAAGGACCTGCCAGGAAGCGGACGGGGCAGCCAAGAAGTTGCCCCACTTGGGGCTGGCGGTGGCTGGCGCAGCAGCCTTTCTCCTTGCTGTTTGTGCCCGCTGACTCCTGACTTGCTAGATATGGCCTGTTGAGGCTGATGGGACCAACTCGCCCAGGGATCTTATTACGTTGAATGGCATGGTACAAAGAGCTAGCCTGATGGACCCTTTGTGTACAGGGTGCACCCTTACGGGCAAAACGTTGGCTTGGCCCAGGGGTTGTGCGAACATCTCCACGGAGGGATGCAGCCAAGACAGAGCACTGCCACGTTCACTTCGGGGCTGGAACTCCTTCGTGGACAGTCTCCCCAGAGATGGCCCACTGCCCACAGGGAGCAGAGAGCACTCCAGGGCAGCCCCCGCGTTCCAAGGGTCATCTTCAGGAACTTGTACCACTCACCCGACTCCACTGCCCCAACTAAAGATATGGGTAGATTATCAAGCACACAGCTCACCGGATTAAGAGATCCCGCAGCAATGGAAACTCGCAGTGGGCAGGGTTTTCCACTGAAAAAGAAGAACATTTGTGGTGGCAATCAGGGAATGTCCCGGGGACAGACGGCACCGGGCTGATCGTCCGGGAGGAAGGCAGGAGAGTCAGGCACGCGCCCGGGCACTGTGTGCTTTAGTGGCCCTTTAGAACCGAAACCAGGGAGCTGGCAGCACGGCCAGAAGGGCCTGTGCTCAGAGCCAGGTGTTTCCAGGAAGGCTCAGGAAGGCCCGGAGAGCCGCTCTCTGCCGATGGAGGCAGCACTGCCCTGCCTGTTCTGGTGGCGATCTCAGAAATACGTGTGGAAAAAGCTGGGTGGCTGCGTGGAAGCAAGCCGGCTGCATCTGGTGCTCTTGCAGCTGTTTTGTGCATGCCCTTATTTTGACGAGGGGCAAAGTTTGCTGTTTCCGGGTCTCCCCTGCTTCCGTACAGGAAGGGCCTAATCTTGCTTGCCTGATTTACATCACCCAGTGGAACTGTCCCCCAGCTTTTGCCTGGTGCCTTTTCCAGGTGGGAGAGACAGGACTCCCCCAGCCCAAGGATGGGGTTGAGAGGGGCTGTCAATGTGGAGGGCATGGCAGAGGCATGTGGGCAGGTGGCGGAGAAAGAAAGCAGTGTGGGAAGCTGGACTGTGCAGTGTCCGAGGGCCGCATGGCGAGCCAACGGGCTCTCTTGGGCTCCCCTCTCGTGTGTCCGGTCCTGAGCGGAAGGCAAAGCCACCCAGGGTGGCCTCTTCCAGGGCCTCCCCAGTCCAGCCAACATTCCAGGAAGAATTACCTTCGATGATCCCCCACTTGGTCTTGCGGCCCAGGACTTTCTTCCCATTCACCTGGTGCTCTTTGTCTGCTCCCACCACTGCAAAGGGGATCTTCTCCTAGATTTGAGGGAACAAGCGAGGGTTATGCCAGGGCTCATCCAGCAAGCATAAAGATAACTTTTTGGTCCTTTCTGGAACTGCTTAAGTGCCTGCATGTTTCCACTTTTGGAAGGACAGGGTGTGTGCTTTGCGTTAAAGTTGTCAAGCACCATTCCCCCCATTTTAGTCGTGGCAGAATACGTGGCCAACACCCATTCTGAGCAAATTCTTTGCTAGGGTGGTCTGGGCGGTTCATGAAGGGAAATCGGAACAGCACGGCAAGCATCACCAGCAGGTGCTTTAGGAGAACACAGACCTATCTGCAGAAGTGGGCAGAGCTTTGAATGTTTCCTGTTGGAAGCCTCAACGGTGCTAGGTGGTAGCCCTGGTTGTGCACAAGCAGACCTTAATGAGTTTTGGGTACTCTGTCAATAGGTCTTAAGACCCAACTCTTTCCCCCTTTCTAACTATGGATAAAGTCCTGTGGACAATGTCATGATGCTGCACAGATCCTTGGATTTAGGTTTCTGAGGACATCGGTGAGGGGAACAGAAGTCTTTCGAGACAGACGGCGATGCTTCTCGGACCTCACCAATGGTGTTGAAACCTGTGTGCAGCTGCCCCTTATGGTAAATCACTGAACTGCAGGTGGTGACCTTCCAGGGAGACCCCTTCTGGACTTGGACAGACTCTGCCTTCCAAGGCTGGCCACTGGATCTTTCTGGACCAGGATGGAATATGAGGTCCTCCTTTCCCTTCAGCCTAGCTGAAACAACACGACCTTCCTGAGGTCTGGCATGATCTTTTGCCTTTGGTTGGTTGTGAGTGCTGGTCTGCTTGCTCCGTCCTCCTGCGTTATCCTCCGGTTATGACTTATTCTGCCCTCCTGCCCCCTGGTGAGCCCTTTCTTCCTGCCTCGCTCTTCTGTTCTGGCGAGCAGCTTGTCTCACAGGTCCTGCTTTCTGCGCACCTCAGGCTGATGCCTGCGGCCCGCCTTTGGCAGCAGCGAGTCATACGGACCATCAGGGATCACAGAGCAAATGTGCAAATAGCACAGCACCACACAACCAATCAGAGTTCAATTATATGCTGGCATCAGTGAGCATAAACAAAGCTGATTCAAGTAAAGGGTAATCTTTCCTGAACTGGCGAGCACTGGGGTGTGTGTGTGTGTGTGCGTGCGCGCACATGTGTGTGAAACCTGGCCAAGCTCACTAAAAAGAATAGCATGTGATTTTGCTCCAGCCCAGAGGATGCCTCTGCCTTCTGCTTGCCAGCGCTTACCCGGATTTTGTCATTCAAAAGCCTGTCGTCTGGGTCATCGTCAAAGTCCACCTGGGGATACACGTGGATCCCATGGGCCTTCAGGTCCTTCTGAACCTGCCAAGATAAAATGATTGGCACTGAGACTGTGAAGGCGGCACCCCGTACCCATGTGGGCATCAGAGTGGGGCTTCTTCATTGACCGGGAGGAGGCTCGTCACACAAACCCAACGATTTCAATGCAGCGGGCTGTGCCATTCGCAAGCAGCCCACAAGCTGCAGCTCCTGCCTTCCTTAACTCCTTGATCCACACCTAGTTCACACAGTGGAGGAGATGTTCAAGCTTTAGCAGGACTGCAACACCTTCATATTGCAGGTTGGATCATCACAGCACGGAATATTCCTCTCTCTTTGTACAAAACAATATATCAGAGAATGGAATTCCAGCTTTAAAATATTTCTGATATGCCAAGTTTAATGCCTTCCTTCTCCCTCCCTGCTTAGGGAAAGATTCAACTGTACTATGTGGAGTGGTGCAAGCCAGGAATGGCTTTATCTAGGTCCAAACGAGTGGTGCAGCAAAATTCAAAATTAAGTTCATCCTAGCAGGTTCATCCATTTTGGGTGAATAACAAGCCCTGACGTCAAGTCAAAGAGTTTCGGTATTTTCATCATCCAAACCAAAATCGATTTATTTATACTGTGTGTGCCCACGAGTTCCATGAGGTGGGCACAACCGAGCCATCAACCTCGACACCATCAGCAACATGCCAAGTCCTGCAAGGAGCAGGAATGTATTTTGGCTCTGGCGACATCTTCGGCTCCAAGCGAATGTGATGACAACCAGAGAAGGAGCACGGTGTGATCCCTGCCCTCGTCACAGTATTTGTGCCACACTCCCAAGAGGCATGTGGACGTGCATGTGCGAGCTTGACGGGCTGTGACCTCTGGCAGTAACAGGCCTTCCATCTGTACTGATGAGTGCTGGAGCATTATTTAGTGAGCAGTCTGCAAATTACGACCCATCAGTAGTGGAGGCCCAGACCCTAAGGAAAGCATGAGGCCAAGCCACCTGTGTGGCCCAGGGGAGGACCGGGTGCCACCCCGGGGCCAGATCCTGGGGCCCAGATCTTGCGCTGGCCTCCTCCCAGGACCGTCTCATGGCAGCAGGACCATCTTACCCTCTGCTTGAACTCTGCGCGTTCCTCCAGGGTCAGGGTGTCTGCTTTGGCAATCACGGGCACTACATTGGTGATCTTGCTGAGCCGTCTCATGAACTCCAGGTCCAAGGGACGCAACCTGAGGAGGGCAGGGGTGCGGGAAATCAGTGTGCAGCAGTGAATGGAGATGCCACAGCCCTGTAGCCTGGGCTCCGCTGAGCTTCTTGCTCTTTCCATGGGCACAACTTCTACATGCAGCTGCTGCTGTCAAGAAGAGTGTCCTTGCTCCGTCTGTGAACGAGGGGACCGGGGGTGGCATCGTGGCTGCACACCCTAACAACGACCTGCTCGGCATTCAACTGTAAGAGAGTCTACGCAGGTACAGACATATACAGGTAAGTTTAAATAATTTAATTTAATCTGATCCTGAGGGTGGGGAGGGCCAGCACTGCAATCCCGCTTCCCCCGCCACGCCTTTGCTATGCACAAGAGGGAGAATGTCTGAACAGGCCTCCTGTTCGGTTTGGTTCCCTCACATTGACCTGTTTTGCATGTAACAATAACTCAAAGTGCAGGCTGAATATGTTGAATTGTTGCTGAATCATGGGTCACTGTTGAATAACAAGTTACCTTTACATTCAAACCCTGCATAATGGCTTAACTAAGGTAAAGGTTAAAAGGTAAAGGCTTCCCCTTGACATTAAGTCCAGTCATGCCTGACTCTAGGGGGCAGCACTCATCTCCGTTTCCTAGCCGCAGGAGCCAGCGTTTGTCCCCAGACAGTCTCCGTGGCCGTGTGGCTGGCTTGACTACACACCGAAGTGGTACCTTTTTATCTACTTGCATTTGCATGCTTTCGAACTGCAAGATTGGCAGGAGCTGGGACAGAGCAACAAGAGCTCAGCCTATCTGCAGATCTGAACTGGTGACCTTTCGATCAACCAGCCCAGCAGCTCAGCGGTTTAAACCACTGCGCCACCTGCATCCCAATGGCTTAACTGAGTTCTTAACTGCAATCCCAGGAAGAGAACTGTGTTGTTGTTGAGCTGTAAACTCTGGGTTGTTTGCAGTTAACAACCAGCACTTAAACCATAGTGCAGGGTTTGTATATGACGACAACCCACAATTCAGCAATACTTACTTAATTCATACCCTGGCTTGTTGTTATGTGCAAACCAGCCCATGACTTTTTTTACTAATGGTTAACTCATGGTCTGTTGCCCTACCCAGGGTTCATCTGGCAGACATTGAACAACACAGGGTTTGTTTCCTTAGCCCCGGGCTGTTTGATTCCCTTTTCCTTCTCTATATCTCAAACGCCTTTGTAGTACTTAGTAGCAAGTAGCCTGGTTGTTTGTGCATCTGGTTTTTCAACCATTTGTTCCTGCCTACACTGTTACCTAGTGAAACAACCCACAAGAAGTCACTGTTAGGGTTGGTGCCTAATAACAACCCATAATTTAAACAACCCAGATTTCTCAACCCAGCAACAAGCCACGAGTTCTCTTTCTGGGGTGTTCTGGCTAATAAACAATGATTTGTTGGCCTACCCAGGCCCGCACAGCAGAGCAACTCCGCATTCAACGATGCGTCTAATAGGCTAACATTACCTGCACACCCGGTAGTGCTCTTGTGAGTCTTTTCCTTTGCTCACCTGAATTTCATTGAATCCTACAACGGGAGAGCTGGAAGGAGCCAGAAGGCCACTGGGTCTACCCCACTGCTCAGTGCAGGACCCCAAGTTAAACCATCCCATTCAGATGACGGGCCAGACGCTTTTGGACTGTCTCCAGCAAGGGAGAGCCCCCACCTTCTCCAAGTGACAGGTTCCGTTGCCGTACTGCTCTGACAGTGAGGAAATTCTTCCTGGTGTCTAATGCAAATGCGGTTTCCTGTAACTTAAGTTCCTTATTCCATGTTCTGCACTCCGGGATGATTGAGAAGAGATCCTGTCCTTCCGCTTTGTGGCCACCTTTCAAGTACAGCTATCCTACCTTCCCTCAGGCTTCTCTTCCGAAGGGTGGCATGCCCAGTTCTCCCAATCTTTCCTCAGAGGGCTTTGTCCTCCATCTCTGAATCACTCCTGTCGCTCTCCTCGGTACCCTTTCTAGCTGTGGCTTATTAGGATCTCCTCCTGCCAGACAAACTTCGTGGAATCCTGTGACAAGGTTTCGAGGTGGCTAGACGGAGGGGACGTGGCCTCTCGTGTGACAGAAGCCAGGTTTGCTTTGGTTAGGGTCCCACAGTCAAGAAGATCTTACTGCCTGCCAAAGAGGGATTTGTTTAGCTGCTTGTGCAAAAGGAAGGGTTCAGAAGCTGGAGGCGTTTCCTGGCAAATGACTGGCCTCAGGACTCCTACTTAGAGGAATTGTTGTGAATGAGGAAAGGTGTCTATGTCAACTTTTGAACTGTGACTTCCTCAACATATGCTTTTCAAGACTATTGGCATTCTTTTCCAAATTGATTACCATTTCCTGCAAGCTCAGGAATATCCTCTATTTTGCAACTAAAAGCTGGCCCAGAGGGCTCCTCTAGCTGAGGCATTTGCTGTGCACTTGTGATTCCTCCTTCATGGGGATCAGCAGGTGCTTTGCAACCATTGTTTTAAAGATTTAGGAAAGTCTGGTATCATTGGAAATCACACTATGAGAAACTTGGATATTTTTGCAGTTCCACTGTACTTCAGTGATGCTTTGTGGTTGTATGAGGGAACATAGAAAAGGGCAGAGAAAGAATTATTCTGGGGTGGGGGCATATGTAAAGCAACTGATCTTAATTTTGCAAAGACTCTGGAAGCAGAACCCTTGGTAAAGTGGTGGACTGAAAGCCACAGATTGGACTGAGGTCCTCACAGCCCAAGGTAATATGGGGGAATGTCAGCCCCCAGGTTACTCTCAAGAGAAAAAAAGCTGGATTAGAAATGTAATTTCTGACCATACCACCCTGTGGGGGCCTTGGTAGGGAACAGTTTCATTCTCTGAAAGCCAGGTAAAATGGAAGCGTACAGATCCGTTTCCGTCCTGTTGCAGACTTTAACCTGCACATAAGGGCTTCCCATCCTGAGGCTTATAAGCTGCCACTTTTGCTTTTGCTTTCAGATTCTTTGCGGGATCCACGATTAAACATACGCTTATTTTCTCTGCCTCGCCACATATTCTATGACAACCACTAGGCGGAGCTGCAGTATAGCAAACTCGCTAAATAAAGCGCTTTCTTTCATAGCACAGTTTCTACGTAATACCAGACTTCCTTTACTTTAAGAAAAAAGTTGCAAAACTTATTGCAAAGCACAGGAGAGGCTCTAGTGGATAGAAAAATGTTTAATGCATCTGCAAATAACTCTGAGTGAGGGAGTGGAGGACCCAGGAAATGCCATGGACTAGCTAGTTGTGTGGACTTGTGTTCCAAAATTAAGCTTCTTTTTTGAAACTGCCCTCCCCCCACACTTTCCACCACAAAAACTTCCATTGCATAGCTGAACCAATCAAAAACACTTTTTATTTTACTTTTACTCCGTGGGACTAGCTGTGTTTACTACTGATAAAATTAGAACACTTGTTTTCAGTTCTCATCTCAACTCTCCAGCTTTTATCCTAAAGGGTTAGTGTCCGTTTCTGTCGCTGGGTGCCACTGTTGGCTCATTTAGATTAAAATGTGCAGGTGACCGCTTCTTTCTGGCCAAATCTAAAAAGCGGTTTCTCTTCCATGTTCCTTTCTGAAGGGAGCGAACATTTTGGGTCAAATCTGTGCGCTCTGTAATTCAGGGCCCTACACAAACGCAGTGACTTGCAACCATGAAACAGAACTTGCCCTTGCAATTCACAAGATGTTTAATGTGAGCACCTGTAAGCACTTAATCAGATTCGGTGGGCTATCTGGATTTTTTCCCCTTTTAGTGGGGGAAGGAAAATATCTGCTGGGAATACAAGTAACAGGGAAGAAGATCTGGTTATTGTTGCACAAGGACTGAACAGCGATGACGGTGGTAACGGAGTGTGGACGAGATGCTAGACCGAGTGGTGGACAGATCCGTAAAAATAAATGAAGGCAAGAGTAAAAAGTTATAAGATTGTCCTGTGTCAACATTTTCAACAGCCTGGGTAGTTATATAGAAGATGGAAAGTTTGTTAGAAGATGGTTCTGATTTTGTTTCTATACAATAGAAGCATACAAAGCATCTCATTTGGGGAAAAGATAAGAAAGCTAATAATGGAGAAATTTCCATCACATCTTAAACTTGATCCTGTACTCTGTATGTTGAATTATGTAAAAACTGGTTATTCTAGTGGATAAACAAGAACTTATTCCAATTATATTTACTCTTGTGATAATTTAGTGTGCAAGGATGTGGAAGTTTAATAAATAAACCTTAGTGGGATATATATATATATGTGGGAACAGTTAAAGGTGGTTAAGTTAACTGTGATATAAAGTTCAATAAACAGATAGAAAATAGACCTTTATATAAGAATTCTGAAGTTGGAGGGGGTCTTAGAGGACCAGCCCCTTGGTCCAAGCAAGATTTGCAAGATGGGCTTCAGCTGCAGCGCCCATCTACTCCGCTTGGATACCCTTAGGGCATCTGCGGCCTGTGCTTCCCAAGGTGTTCTGAGTTACTGTTGAGCAGCTTGTGGTCAGCTAAGCACCAAGATCCTTTTTCACAGGTACTAGCGGTAAACCAAGCCTCCCCCATCTTCTAATGAGGGGCTTATGAACCTCTTTAGGCCCAAATTTCAGGATAAATTTTGCTCTGGGGAAGCCCTTGGCTGGGGGCACATTCCAGTGGTGGGCGAAGCAAAGGCAAAGGGGTGGAGACAGGATGCCGTTATATTTTAGTCTAAAGCTCTTATTGCTTTAGGAAAGGCATTTCAAAATGTTAGAATGGGAAAAATCCTCTGCACAGCAGCTGTGGAGCCGCCAAGTGATTGGTGGTCAGGGGAAAGAGGTGCAGCCAGGGGAAGGGAGAGCGACCACCTAAGAAACTGGAGGTTCAGATTGGGATTCCAGCAGGGACAGATCTGACCCTGACACCTGAAGTTCTGCACCCCATGATTAATGCCTGATTTATGTCTTTTGTACAGTCACATTTCATTTTCTAGGTCTTGGCTACTGTTCCAATCTGTCAAGATTGTTTTGAAAAGCTTGATCCCGTCTGCTGTGGAGTGCAATATTCCACCCAGCTTCATGCCATCTACAATCTGACTAAGATCCTCTCTATCTCAGATCATTTATATACAGAAAAGTTGCGATAGCACAGGGATTAAGGCAGAGGGTAGGCAGGGCGAGGAGGTGAGCGGTAGGCGAATCTGTGCTTGGTTAATATCCACTGCGGGAGAACTGGTGAAGGAGGCATTTTTTCCAGCCAGTGTTACTGCTGCATTTTTAGGGTTCTCTTTTTGTTAGGTCTGCAACCTGAGATTCAAATAGATCCGCCCCACAAGTTCTCATCGATTAATTTATCCATTGTATTTGTACACGGAGGCCCTGCAGATTGTACTTTGCTATGGGGGCAGCACTCCCCTCCGTTTCTACAGCCAGGAGCCAGCGCCATCTGCAGACTTTCCCGTGGCCCTGTGAGCAGTATGCTGGCACGGGGCTCCGTCTCCCCGCCACCAAGGTGGCACCTGTTCATCTCCTCGCACAGCTTGCTTTGCAGGACGTCCCCTCGTGGCACGGCTTTGAAGCGCCAGCCTCCTGATCAACAGGCCAGCGGCTCAGTTTAACCTCTGCACCATCGCACGCCCCCCCCCCCATAGCAGTCTGTGGGTAAGGCCAAGGCTGGTAGAGAGACGTTTCCCTTGGCTTCAGAGGACGCACAAGTGGAGCAGGAGGCATTGTTTTAGAAAAGGTATTCCTACTGTATCGGGGAGCAGGTCGGAACGGCTCCTTTTAACATGAGCTTGCTGGCAACGCACGGCTGTTGTCTGGTTAAAGCATTTAAGCCCATGCGTGCCTGTTAAAATGACTCTGCTCAGTTAATCAGGGGCAACTTTTATTTCAGCCAGTGAAAACACAGAGACTTAGTGAGTCAGAAGGATCCTCCTGAGCCATCTAGTCTGACCCCCGGCTCCAGCCGGCTCCACTCATGTAGTAGCCAACATGTGCACGTCCAGCCTATCCTTGAGCACCCTCACTGATGGGGCCTCCGCCACCTCCTGTGGAAGCCCATTCCACATCCTAGGGGTCCTAACCATTAGGAAGTACTTCCTGACATCCAACCTGAAACCCAGTTCCTTGAGCTTTGCAGACTATGAAAGACAACAGGACGGCATTCAGTGCAGATAAGTGCAAGGCCTTGTATTTGGAACTCAGGCGTAGTTGCCATGGGTGCAGGACGGAGAACAAGTTCCTGGAGAGCAGCACTTGAGAAAGGGGCCTCGGGGTATTTGTCCACAGCAGGCTGAACATGAGCCAGCAGCGTGATGCGGTGGTCAAGAGGGCGAACGCCACCCTTGGTTGCATGGCCAGAAGTGTGGCTTCCAGATCAAGAGGGGTATTACTGCCACTCTACACGACTCTGGTGTGCCCACAGCTGGAGTACTGCATCCAGTTCTGGGCTCCACATTATAAGAGGGACTTAACTAGTCTAGAATCAGTTCAGCATAAGGTCACAAGGATGGTAGCCAGATTGCATATGAGAAGAGATTAAAATCTAAATAGTTAAATGATTATGAGCCCAATCCGACAACATCTACACCTTCCGGCATGCCCTGGCCACCCCGCTCAGGCCCCTTCTTTCCCTGTAGACACGCATGGAATTGCACCTGAAATAACAGCAATGGTTGTTATTGTTGTTGCTTTCAAACAACATGCAGCCTGTGGTTTCATCTTTTGTTCACCACCTCCTGCGCTTGCAACACAGAGAATCAACGGACAAGTTCACTAAGTGCTACTCTTGGTATGTGCAAAGAGCCCATTTCAGGAACACCAAGTTAATCACGCTCTTGTCTCTGGGGTAGGGAGCCTGTGGTCCTGCCAGATGGTGTTGCACTCCAACTTCCATCAGCTCCAGCCATCTGAAGGGGCTAAGGGTTCCCTCCCCTGGATTTGACCTAGAGGTGGACAGAATGGCTTCTCGGAGGAACAGGAGGCACCCCCTGCATCTGCCCGAGGCAGAAGAAAGCTCTGGAGGAAGCTGGCAGGGCCCTTGCAAACAGGACCAAGTGGGGCAGAAAGCGTTGCCTCTGAGCACCATTCAAAGGCTGGGTTCGAACAACACAATAACCCAGGTTTCAGCAGGATCCCGTGCCTCAGCGGGAACCCATGCTCAACCCCTGAGTAGGAGTTATCAGGCCGAGAGTGCTGCCCTCTAGCTGGTAGCCCCTCCCCCCAGAAACTGATCTCACGCTCTCCAAGAACGCTAAAAGCTGGAGCAGCTCAGCACCCCCAGCTGGCCACAAGCTCCTGGCTGCGGAGCAGCTTCCTTCTCCCACTTCTGCAGGTCGTGTCAGGGAGGGCAAGGCAGCAGCTGCAGGACAGATGCTGAGAGGGGCCGGCAGCTCCCACACACATTGCACGGAGGGGAGGGGAAGGCCTGGCCGCCCCGTGCATTTCTGTGCTTTCGAAAGTCAGAGGAGCATAGTTTGTTTTAACTGAAAATGACAGAGATTCCTGGCAGGTAGTGAGGTATGCGAGGCCGGAGCAGCTCCTGGGCTCCACCCCGTGCTCCCTGCAGGCCCAGGGGCTCCAGAGCCACGGGGGCAGAGCCCCCCATGTGCCAGCCCAGGGCTGACCCTGCCGCCGCCGCCCAGCCTCCTCGACTGGTGGCAGGCCAGATGTCGCGGCGGCACGCCAGCCTCCAGCCCGCGAGGGACTGGCCAAATGCCATGTGAGCTGGGGATGCTGGGTGTTGTGGTGCAGGGCATCTGGAGGGTGTCGTGTTGTTGGAGAAGGCTGGCACAGACGGCCTAACCAGGACTCAGGTTTTCATGAGCCGAGCATGTCATTCTAGACACAGTCTGGCAGGGAACATGACTCTTCTCTCCATGGGGATTCTAGTCATTTTCCTACTCTGCAGAGTTAATAACAGATTTAGCAATGGAGAGAATATATTATTGTTGTATTATTACATTGCATTTATACCCCAGCTTTCTTCTTCTTGCAAGGAACTCAAGACAGCTTCCAAGGTTCTCTCCCTCTCCATTTTACCCTCACAACAACAGCCCTGTGAGGTAGGTTAGGCTGAGAGTCTGTGACCGGCCAGGGAGCTCCCTGGCTTGGTAGGAACCAGCACCCAGATCTCCTGAGTCCCAGCCCAACACTCCAGCCACCAGGCCAGCCTGGCTCTCACCCAGAAGAAACGCCTGGGTGAAGGAATTTCCAGATCCCATCCTGGAGCACGGCAGGAAAGCCTATTCCTTGTTCTGCCTTGCCTCTGTGCAAAGGCAGCAGAGGCCTCTGGCTGGGGGACGCAAGAGTGGGACGCCTGGCCCCATCTCTCTGGGGCTGGGCTAAGCAGCTTGCTCTGTGCCATTCCAGAGGGGCGGAAGCCACTCCTGCAGCCGTCTTCTCCAACCTCGGGGCCTCCTGGTCTTCTGGACTTCAACCTGTATCAGCCCCAGCCAGCATGGCCAAGGTTGAGGAATGCTGGGAATTGTTGACCCAAACACTTGGGTAGCATCAGGCCAGGGAAGCTTTTAGCTCTGCAGGTTCTTCAACCCTTTCAAAGCCAAGCCCCTCTGTCTCTCCTGCTGCCTTTCAGAATCCAGTGCCTCGGACCAAGTTCCTCTGATGTTTTTGTCATCCCAGGAAATCAACCCATTTCTTCCCTGGATCCCATGAAAAGGGGCGGGAGGAATCCAGTGGGGGTTCTGGTTGGCCAGGCCTTTGCTGGTGCAGACTTGCTTTGGTGTGAGTGGAGCTGGATCACAGACGCCCATTTTGAAGGCAGCCTGTGACTTGTGCATTACAAACACTAAGGAAACTTGTGTAGAATCTGCCCCAAATACCACAATTGGTGCAAAGTTCCTTTCTTAGAGACAGAAGTTTTTGGAATCAGACTGGGCTCAGCCCTGAGCCTCCCACTGGACTGAAGGTCCAGGCTCAAATAAGGCAGCCTTCCCAGCTTCAGTACATCCTCACCCATGAATGGCCTCTGGCCACGTGGGCAGACAGTATCTGGAGCTTATAGAGACGCGCTCCCAGGGGGCCCAGAGGGCAGGGCCAGAATGGACAGAAGCTGCTCAGAAAGAACACTGGGCTGAACATTAGGAGAGATATCTAGGCGTAAAAGCCTTGTGACAACGGAACAGATGCCTGGGGACATGGAAGACCCGGAGATGTGGAGGAGAGGGCTGGATGGCCGACTGTCAGGGATCCTGCACTTACCACCCAATGCGTAGATTCTGGGAAGGACAGGTGGTCGGATTAGAATGGTACCCGTGCTGCATTACAGATGCATTGCACTACATCTCCCAGCGTCCTCCAGCCAGCTCTGGGCAAGGCCGGAGTCGAGTACAGCCGCCACTTGACTTCCTTCGTACTCCGCCATTGTATGAAGAGACGGCTCCAGGAAGGGGGACGTGTTTCGCGCAGGCGCACCTGAAGGAGCCCTGCGAGGGCCAAGGGCTTACCAGTGACCAGTTGGGGGCACGAAGTACACGCAGGCGTGCACGCGGCTGTCAGGTATTTTCCGTTTGCGGTGGATCAGGATCTCCTCTCTCAGGTAGCGCTCATACTGGTCATTGATATACTCAATGATTGGGTCCCAGCTGTGGGAAATGGAGAGAGAAGGGTCATGCAGAGCGGCGATGCTTTGGGAGGCTCATACACGGAGACTCGCTCAACAATTGCTGTTGATGGCACGACTATGTATGTTGGTTTGTATGCAGGCATCCATTTTGCAGAGGTTTTAGGCAGCTTTCCTGCGATCGTGTTTCTGTCAGGGGGCACTGCATTTATCCCAAACACGGATGGTGCTTCCAGAAGGAGGGCTCCTAGCTAATTCTACTAATCCAAAAGAGTTTCCATCCTTTACTTTATAATATTTTTTTTTCCTAGTTGAAAAACCGGATGAAAAAAGTGGTGGGGAAAGACAGGAGGGCTACAAATGGAAGAGGACATCTTTGGATCCGGCCTTCTCTTTTGGTAGAATTCCAAGAATGAGGCAGGACAAGAGCCTAGTAAAAGCCTCATTTAGGACCATCTCTAGGGCTTGCGGTTGGGGGAGTACCGTGCCCACCACACCACCCCGCTCAGCCCATGAAGCCTGTGGTGGAACATGGCTGTGGGGCTCCTCCTGTGGGTCTGTGCCAGCGACACCAGCAACAACAGGCCAGCAGGACTCCTGAGAGGACGACATGCGGCCAGGTGACACGGCGGCATCGGGAGGGTGCGGTCCTGACCTGGGAAGAGGCCCACGGGTGCCCCATGCGTCCGCCCTCGGCTCACCGCCTCTGTGCCCTGAGCCGCCCGCCCAGACCCCTTTCCCTCCCAGGCATCCTGAGAGTACGAACATGCCTGGGACTTCAGAGCAGAGCGGGGATGGGGGGCGGGGGTGAGCAGAGCTCTGGTTTGGGGCACAGAGCCGTGATGCTCAGGCAGGGGCAAGCCACCCTTCACTTCTCTACCCCAAGTCCCCTTTGGGGCTTTGCACGCTTATCCTTTGCGTTCCTGCACCGTGTAACCTTCCAGGGCTGTCCACCCAACTGTGCTCAGCTGGGTTTGCCCTCCCTGGTAAGTATTTTGAAGACTGCAGCTCCGACTGTTTTTTCCACTTATTCATTTATTTATAAAATTTGTATGCCATTCAATTACTTGTGTCTCTGGACGGCTAACAACATAGGTAATTTGACAACCCACTCTGGCTGCAAGTTAATAAAATGCAACAATAAAATTTGATATTAAACTATATTAAAATATTGATTAAATAAAAAGGTCTTAATCTGGCGCCAAGTGGACCTCTCTGGGGAGCACATTCCATAGTTGGGGTGCCACCGCAGAGAAGGCCCTCCTCCAGGTACTCTGTCTCCTAACGTCTTTCACAGAGGGTTCCCGGAGGAGGGCTTCTGCTGCTGATCTCAGGGCGGGAGGGCAAATAGGGAAAAAGGTGTTCCTTTAGGTATCCTGGTCCCAAGCCATCCCACTTAGAGGCCAAGTGCTCTACAATCACTGCCAGTGAAGAGGAAGAGAACCCACCTCCTTAAAAAAGGGTGCCCATCACAAGTGAGGCCTTTCCCCGCCCCTGCTGCGAAGCATCCCACCAGGCCAAGGAGGAGCCCCTGCCCGCGACAGTCACCTCCTTTTGGAGCAGAGCCCACCCCTCCACACGCACGGATTGCATGTGGCTCGGATGTGGAGGGCATCTCAGCTCTTCTCTGGGGCTAGCGCTGGCTGCGATGGAACAGTACAAGTCAGACCAAATGCCCCCTGTCCCAGAGGGAGCAGAGGCAAGGTTCTCACATACCAGTTTTGGTTGTTGATCTGATCTCCGAATCCAGGTGTGTCCGTCACTGTCAGCTTCATCTTCACTCCCTTCTCTTCAACAACTTTCAGAAACAGAGGGCACACCGTTAGTTCAGGAGCTCCCCAGGCCAAGACCCTCCCTGATGAAATGGAATGGAGCTCATCAAACTGGAGCTGCTCTCTCCTCACTTGCAGAATGAAGACCAGCATTGCACTTGCCAGACATTCTGGACTACGACTCCTATTATCTGTCAATCATTGGCAGGGCAGGCTGGGGCTGATGGGCCTCAAGCACCCAGATGACACCCAGTTGCCTGGCCCTGCTTGAGACGTATGCACCAACTTATTTTTTAGATTGCTCTCCCTCCAATGCAAGGCAGCTTACCTCCTCCTCCTCTTCCTCCTCCAACTCTTCTCCATCTGGTTCCTGACTCCTAGCTGAGCAGATTGTAGGGACTCTGGCAAGATCTCTGTCTTCCAAGGGAGCAAGCAACCCAAGCAAGCCAGGAGGGGTTGGGTAGTGGAGGTCGGCAGCAGAGGTCCCTAACATTTTTAATTCTCCCCCCCCCCCCTCCCCTGTTTCCTTCCTTGTGACACACGTCTATTTACTGGCAGGACCTTCAGTGTTGTTGGCCTTCAGTGAAGACAGGAGAGCTGGTTGTTGCAATAGGCCCAACAAGGTGGAACCACCAATGCAGCAGAAAGAAGGGACTGAGAAGGCTCTGCAGTGGCGACAACCTGCGACATTTGTGCAAGCTTGTTTTCCTGCCTGAGGTCAACATGGCCTCCGTGTGCAGTGAGTGCAAGCTAGTGGCCCTGCTGGAAGAAAAGGTGAGAGTGCTGGAGCCGTGGGTGTCTACCCTCGAGGCAATAAAAGAAGATGAAGCGTTTTTAGGACGTCACAGCTAAGAGCAGTACAGAGGCAAGAAGTGCGACAGCAAGCGGAGGCAGCAGAGGGGAATCCCGAGAGAATGGAAGATGAGGAGGAAACTCCCAGGAAAGGGAGAAGAACTAGAAGAAGCTCCGCACCAGTGGAGACAGTGGAACTCTTGAATGGTTTCAGTTGCTTCAGGATGAGACTAGCGGGCAGCTTGCTGTGGAAGAAGTACAAGCCATCCTGTGCGGCACAAGGATCCTGTGCAGAACAGGTTATTGTTCTTGCAATGATAGCAAGAACAAGAAGAGAAGAGTGCTAGTTGTGGGAGACTCCCTGTTGCATGGGATGGAAATGCACGCATGTCGGGATGACCCACGGACACACCAGGTATGTGGTCTCCCTGTTGCAGATTGCAACTGAAAGACTGCCAGGGCTCATGCAGCCCACTGACGCGTTTCCCTCCCTCCTTATACACGTGGGAACAAATGGCACTGCCAAGCGGGGCTCTGAAGACATCACGTCGGACTCTGAAGTTCTAGGGAGGAAAGTCAAGAGCTTCAGAGCCCAGATAGTTTTGCCTTCAGTCCTTCCAGCTCTCGGAAGAGGAACAGGCAGGGAAAGAAAAAGTGGATGCCTGGGAACGAAGGCGGTGCTGATGGGGTGACGGATTTGGAATCTGGGACCACAGGCTGCACTTGCTGGAAGACGGACTGCTGGAAAGGGATCGGTCGCACCCCACAAAGACCGGAAAGAATGCGTTTGGTCTCAGCCTGAAAGAGTTGACAGGAGAGGAGAAGTGCGCCCGGGTGCAACAACAGACGAGGGCCTGTACACCACAACAGCGAGAGCAGCTCTAATGTCGGAAGGAAACAAGGGCATAAGGCACGCGCTCATCAGTGTCTGTACTGATGCCTGGAGCATGGAAAACAAGCAGCATGAACCTGGGCTTTTAATGCAGGAGGGGGAATACGACCTGGCAGATTGAACTGAAACTTGGGTGACTCCCATGACTGGAAATCCACAATTGAAGGATATAACCTGTTCGGGAAGAACGGAAGAAACAGAAAGGAGGAGAGCCACACAGTATGTGAGAGACACATATCTATGCACAGAAATGCAGGAGGATGAGCTTAGTAGCCTGACTGGGGGGAATCTCGATTAACATAAACGGAGCAAGGAATAAAAGGAGCACAGTGGCTGGGGTTTGTTACCGCCCAGTCAAGGAGAAGACAAGGCGGAACTTTTGAAAAGCAAATCGCCAGTGTTTCAAGGCGGCATGATGTCAATATTATGGGGGACGTCAACTCCCCCAATATGTGTTGGGAGAAGATTCTGCCAAATGCAGCCCCTCCAAGAGATCTGTAACATGTGTTGTTGGTCATTCCTCCAATAGGAAGTGAAGGACGGAACAGGAGGCAAGGCGATCCTTCACTTGATACTAACCAACATGGAAGACCTGGTGGATGCCGTGGGAACTCTGGGGGAAAGTGACCATGCCATACTTGAATTCTTGATCTACAGGAAGCAAAAGCCAAATGCAGCCAAACATGTACCATGGATTTAAAGAAAGCAAATTTTAATAAGCTCAGAACAATGATAGGTCCTATGGCGAGTGACTCTAACAAGAAAAGGAGGGGTGGGAATTAAACACAAGAAAGAAAGAAATTCTAAAGGCACAATTACAAACAATTCTGACAAGGAAAAGGGATAGAAGACAACAGAAGAGACCCACAAGGCTTCATAAAAAGCTTAGAGATGATCTGAAAGCAAAAAAGGACATGCATAGGAAGTGGAAGGAAGGCCAGGCCACAGAGAAAGAATGCAGGCAGGTAGCGTGGACTTGCATGGATGGTAACTAGGAATTAACGGAGGCTAGCGATGGATGCTAAAAGCAGCAAAAAGGTTGTCTGGACAGATATGTCCAAAGGAAGAGATAAAGGAAAGAAATGGGGGTTCAGCTACTCAGTGTGGATGGCAAAATGATAACAGATGACCAAGAAAGGGCAGAACTGCTCGATTCCTACTTTGGCTCAGCCTTCTCCCAAAAGAAGATCTACCAGCTTGCTGATAAAGGGGAAGTACAAACTGAGGGAGCAGGAAGGCAGCTCAAAATAGAGAGATCAAGGATCCATGGGCGGAATGACTTCATATCTCCAGGGCTCCCTGAACTCCATCCTAGAGTCAGAAAGGAGCCTGCGGAAGAATTCTCAGAACTGCTCTCTATTATCTTTGAGAAACCACAGAGGACAGGAAAAGTGCCAAATGACTGGAGAAGGGCTAATGTCCCCATCTTCAAGAAAGGAAAAAAGAAGGACCTGGGAACTACAGACCAGTCCGTCTGTCATCAACCCCTGGAAAAATTCTGGAGCAGATTGTAAAGCAGTCAGTCTGCAAACACTTTGAAGACAGTGCAGTGACTAGGGGAAGCCAACATGGATTTCTCAAGAACATCTGGTTTCACCTTTTGATCGGGTAACCTCCCTAACGGACTGTGGGATTGCTGTGGGCATAATCCGTCTTGACTCCAGCAAAGCTTTTGACAAAGTGCCCCATGATGTCTCAATTAGCAAACTAGCTAAAAGTGGGCTTGATGAAGCACCCCTGTCAGGTGGATCCACAGTTGGCTACAGAATCAAACTCAAAGAATGCTCGTCAGTGGCACTTTCTCAGACTGGGAAGAATGTAAATACTATTTCAGCCTACATTGATAGAAGCCTCCCTTCCAAATCCCGTGAAGCACCAGTTCCCCTTTACTCCGCACTGGTTAGGCCTCATATGGAGTACAGTGCCCAGTTCACGGCACCACAATCTAAGAAAGATGCAGACAAGCTGGAAAGGGTTCAGAGGAGCGGAGGGCACAAGGATGATCCAGGGACTGGAAACAAAGCCCTGTGAGGAGAGATGGAAAGAACTGGGCATGCTTAGCCTCAAGAAGAAAAGGTGGAGGGGAGATAAGATAGTGCTCTACAAGTCCTTGAAGGGCTGTCGTAAAGAGGAAGGACAGGACTGCTTCTCAATCATCCCAGAGTGCAGAACATGGAACAATGGGCTCAGCTCACAAGAAGCCAGATTTAGGAAGGGTTTCCTGACTGTTAGAATAGTACAACTGTGGAACCAGCTGCCTAGAGAGGTTGCGGACTCTCCCACGTTAGAGGCGTTTGAGATGCACGGAGCAGGGGTTGGACCCGATGGCCCTCTGGCCCCTTCCAAGGCTACTGTTCTACGATTCTGCGATCTGATCCTCACAACAACAACCCTAATCGGGGGGGCCGGGAGTCACCCAGGGAGCTCCAGGACTGAATGGGGACTAGAACCCAGATCTGCTGAGCCCCAGCCCTGCACCGCACTGGCTCTCGTGACTCACCCAGGGCATCCCTTAGTGCCACTGCCCACTTCCTCCCTGGTACATCTCTGCCTGGGTTTTAGTGCCGCCCACAGTTGCACAATGAGTGGCTGGTTGTGTTAGGCTCCAGGACCCAGAAGTGGCAACGGTGCACGGCCTCCAGGGTCCAGGGCCGGGTGCTAGGATGCCGTGCAGGATGCGGCTTGGCTAGCTCACCCACTGCAGCTGCTGAGCAGCAGAGAGCCTGTCCTACTTGATCATGACCAGAAGAAACACGTAAACAGGCAGGAAAGGGCAGAGCCAGAGTAATAAACACAGAAAGAACAAGGTGGTATAAACCAGGGGGTGCTGAACCTCAGGACCGGGGAGTCAATCTGACCCAGCTGGGATTCCCCAAAGGACCTGCCCCCTTCCCATGGCCTCAGCCTCCAGCTGCCTATTGTTTGGGGCATTTGGTCCCGCCCCCAGCCTTTGGCCCCATCACCTCCACAGTGCAGGCCAGCAAGAGCTCTTTGAAAGCTAATATGGCCCTGGGGGTGGAGGCGGTCTTGGAGATGCCAGTGGTCCCGTCTGCTAATAGGGCAGGTGGGCATGGGGGAGGGGCTGGGCCAGGGATCCTGTGTTATGTGAATGAGGGGTGTTGCGGTAGGGATATGTGAGGAATCTGTTTCAGGAGGGGATCTGTTGGATTCCCCAGGCTTGGTTCCCCGGACTGACATCGACAAGGTTTTTGAGGGGTGCCTGCCAGGAGCCAAGCCCCACTTGCTGTGCAGCAGGGTCCCTCTCGCGGGCTGAGCACAGCTGCCCAGGAAGGCTGGCTGCAAGGGCTCCCCAGAAAAAGTGCCCCCCATGGCCCCTCAACTGGGCTTGCTTCGGAAGCCCGTGCACGCTCAGGCGGATTCTGCTAGGGCTTGTCCCGACCCTCGCTGCAAGCATTTGCTTATTTTTGTATGTGAAGCACTGGAGAGCGTGGGTAAGAGCCAAACTTAAAAGGTTCAAGTCAGACATGACATCACTCACCCAATGAGCAACAACATGGATGGGGGTGATTTTTTTAAACGCAAAGACCCAGGGGGACCCTGGGCAAGACGGAAGGTACTCCTGTGCTCCGCCACTGCTTCCTCTGGGTTGGGGAAGGGCAATTCCTGCCACTTAGCTACAGCGAAGTGGGTGGAAGAGGCAGGCCTGCGAGGCCAAAGGCAGCTACAGCCCCTGGTGGAGAGGTCCCTGCGGGACTCCTGCCTGGCCAGCAGGGATCTCCATCCGCATGCAGGTCCAGGGAAGCAACACAGGACTGGACTGGGGCCGTGTGGGAAGGGTGGGAGCAAAGGCTGAGGGCCCCGCATTCTGGAAAGACTCCCCTGGCACTACCCAGCTATTTACTTTTTAAGAGAAGAGGTAATTGCTAAGCATGTGAATGAGTTCCTAGACAGTTCGGCCTGGAGAGTGTAGCGGTCGACTGTTTGCTCAGGCTGAGGCACACGAGGCCCAGGCGAGCCAGAGCTGCAGCCCACGGACCCCTGGCCAGGCCAGGGCAGGGCAGGGGGCCCTCTCAGAGGCCGAGCTGCCTTGGAGAGGAGCCATGGCGGTGCTCCCGGGCCAAGCAACAAAGCCTCGCCACGGGGCCCGTTTCCATGTGCTCCAGTCGTCGGGCCCTGCGCTTGTCAGGCTGGGTGGCCCAGCTGGCGGGAGGGTCGTCTGTCCCAGGAGACAAAGGGGACCCGGACCAGCCTCCTCGCTCAGCCCAGCCGGGCCACGAGCTTTTATAGGGAGGGCACGTGCGGCGTTGCCGGACTCTAACTGGCCTACTAGGATCCAGGATGCGATCCCATGCATGCTGAGACAGCCTGAATGCCCCGGGCCATGCCGGCAGCTACAGGTCTCCTTCTGCGGGCACCTGCTGCGACTTCCCTGCACAGCCGTTCATTTCTGGGAATCACAGGAAAGCTTCGCAAAGCGACCCTTTGTAGAGCCTCTGGGACGGTTTTCCAGCACGAGGCAAAATGCCCTCCCTTTGCCCACAGTCCAGCAGTGCTGCGGGTGGGACAAACGCCCCCGCGTGGCATCGCCCGGTCCGCTGCCACAGCCGGCACCCAGCCAGTGCGTGGATCTGTTCTGGGGCTGTCAGAAAAATGAGCGGGGAGGATCAGGGCACCAAATTTGCTCAGAAGAGGGGACGGCCGGAGAGGTCGGTCGGCGGGCCCTTACCGTGGGTGACAGAGAGCAGCTGCACCGTCTTGGGGATCCGCTCCTCGCAGCCAGGACACGAGGATTTCCGGCTGACCTTGGACTTGAAGAGCGTGTTGACCATGGTGGACTTGCCAAGGCCGCTCTGCCCTGGGGCAGGGAAGGAGAGAGAAGAGGGTCGGGTGAGACCACACCGGCCGAGGCCTGGGCAGCAGCGGGCGCGATGGACCCACAGCACGCGGAAGAGACCGCAGGCCAGCTCGGACGGGCGTGTGCCGCCCCTTGATTCCGCAGCGCTTGCATCTGCGTCCTCCAGCAATGGCAGCATCGAGGCGGCGCTGGGCGAGGGGGATGCTGCGTTTGTGGCAGTCTGGGGCTAGCTCCGTCTTGCACGTTCCTCCATGTATCTGTAAAACGTCTTCAGAATCCCCACCTGCACTGGAGCGCCGTTGGCTCCGGGCTTTTGAAGGTCCTGGAGGGAGACCCCGCCCAGGAGCTTCCTCAGTGCAGCTCTCCTTGTGGCTGCCCACTTGCTGGCTCAACAGGGCAAGCGCCACTGGGCGGGCTGGCGCCTGCTCCCACTCCTCCTCACCGCCACAGCTGGGCCAGCCTGGGGCAGCTTGACCAGGCAGGCTGCCGTGGGGAAGGGAGCAGCGTGTCCAGGTGGCCCTCGGCACGTGCCCGGCCTCGACGCCGGCCCCGAGTTTGGCCCTTGATATCTGAGCGAGACTGTGACCGTTTGGACGCAGGCCTGAGCCAGGCCAGCCAGGAATATGGAAGTGGGCCTCTCCCTTCTGGGACACCGGCAGCCCCACGGGGCCAGCAGCCGTGTTGGAGCCTCAGGTTGTTGCCAAAGCCACGGCTCCTTTCGCCCGACAGCTGCCGGGCAGCCCCTCCAGCAGCGACCGGACCAAACGCAAGGAGGCATTTTCAACCAGCCCCTGCCATCATGCCGCCTCCTGGGCTCTTTTCAGATCATTCTCCTGCAGGACGCGGCACCTCCGCTCTTGAAATGCAGCTTTCTCATTCTATCCCTTTACCCTCTTGCTGCTGTATTTATTTATATGTATTTATAGGCTGCCTATAACTGTCGAGGCGTTCCTGGGTGGCTTAAAATACATACAGGCACAGGTATGACAAAGCAAGCCTTGCAATGGTGACTGGACTCTCCCAGCAAGCAGAGCAGATGGTGAGTGAGTCTCCATCAGCCTGCCTGACGAAGCGTGCAGTGGAATCCAGAAGCTTCCAACCTGAGCTGGCCATTTTCCTTTCTAGCTAGATACGTTGCTGGCCCCTGTCTTGGCTCGGTCTGGCATGCCAAAGAAAGACCCCATCCGTTCTTTTCCACTAAACTGCCTTTTACCAAACAGGGGCAAAACAAAGCAATGTTGCTTGAAACGTGAAAGGACAACCCCGGGCACCTCTGCCTCTCGCGTGCTTCCCTCCAGCTCTCACCAGAGGAGCCTTATCTGGTCCGAGGGGCTTCCCTCTCCCTGGCACAGGCAGGACTGCTCTCCTCCCTCACCGCCTCCGCACAGACCCCTTTCAAGTTTAAAAACACGAAACTTCTCAACATGGACAAGGGAAAGAAAAAAAATCCCAGGGTTGATGGAAACCAGATGTGCAGCCCGCTGCTAGAAGATGGAGCGGCCACAGCTGGAACGGCTTGGCTAGCTTTCCAGGTCCTGGCCTGCGTTTGGCCCCATGCAGCCGGGGCACACGGGCAGTGCGGGAAGCGTGCCCCGGGCGAGCACCTGGCACTGTCGCTCCCCTGGTTGGGGACAAAGCAGGGGGTGAGCCACGGAAGGAGACCCCCGTTTTGGTGACAGCGCTTTCTGCCAACCTGACGCTCCCCGGATGTGTCAGATTACCCCCCCCCCCCCGAGGATCTCTGAGTCATCCGTGGGGGTGGAGCAGCTGTTGCATTTCCAGCGGAGGGGGCAGCAGAAATACTGCCCCCACCCCCAATATCCCGCTCCCCTTTCCTTCAATTCGCCAGTTGGAACTTCGCACTTTGGCAACAGACTTCTGCATCCAAGCCACTCCGGAACCCACCGGCCCCTTCAGAGACTGAAGGGGAACAGCAAGTTAGGAAAGACGGGAATGCTTTGAGAGCCACTGCTGCCCGAAGCTGCTCAGTTCAGGACCGAGAGAGGCCTCGTCCAGCACCCCCCCCCCCCCAGTGGCTTCCCCCCTTTGGTATCACGGCGGATGCCTCCTGGCTCCTGGCTGCGTCCTCCCCCACAGAGCGATGCCCCCGGGGGGCTGCTGGGAGGCAGAGAAGGAGCTGCTGCCGGGATTGCACGGCGTCTGCCAGCGCTTTTCTCACAGACCCGTCCCGCGAATGTTTGCACGCAGTTGCCTCGTGCGCATGCCTCCCACGGCGGGGCGGGGCTGGTGGTGGGGCCCGTGAGTAAGTATCATGCCCTTCCTGAGAGAAATTCCAGAGGGGCAGTGCTGTTTGTGAGCTGTTCCAGCTAACTGTCCTGCACAACTTGAAAGGCGTGTAGGTGCAGTGATGGTGGCATACGCGCCTGTGGACTAGAGTCACTTCGAACCACTCGCTCCACTCTCTAAAGATCAGCCCTTTCTGCTCCATTTCTTCTTGGGCTGGTCTGTATAAGCTCTACCACACGTCTTTAAGAACTCATCTCTGAGGTTATTTGCTTTCCTTATCCTTCCCCATCCCCCTTTCCTCTTGTGTGGCATCCCCTTCTCCTGCTGATTGTGAATAAACTACCTGGGAATCCATTTTGGCTGAAGAGTGTGGGAAAAAATGCTTCAGGCAAACCAGTGATCGAATGGCATGTTATTGTGAGCTGAGAGACTAAAAAACCCTACACACATATGGTTATAGAAAGTGAAGAAGTGCAGTGGGCAGCATTTCAGTGTAAAGCATGTGATATGCAAGACGACTGTGCAAGGAAGGAGGACTTGGTGACATCACGGCCACCTGACACTATTTCTTCCTCTTGCACCTGCCCATCTCTGCCTGCCAGCTGAGGACAACGCCTCACCGGCACCAGAAGCCTTGTGCCAGACTAAGCCTGCCAGTCCTCCAGGAGCCACAGAGCTCTTTTCCTCCAGGGGATCTGCTCTTGGAGAGGCTTGCCATGATTCCATTTTCCTTGGAGGCTCTTATTTTGTGGATTGGCTCTATTTCTGTGTCGCCCAACGGCCGAGGCTCTCCAGGCGGTCCGCAGCAACGAGGCTGCCCTGGGCCTCAGCGCCTGCCAGCCCGTAAGTGCACAAAGAGGGCCGCTGCTGGGTCAGGGCAAGGTCCAAACGGGCCAGCATTCCATCCACAGGGTGGCCCACAGGGCCAGCCACACGGGATGGGTGCAGCAGTCCCCTTCCCCAAGCTCCCCAGCAGATGCGGCAAGCCCCTCTGCTAGCAGAGCAGCACAGAGCCAGCCAGAGGGGCTAGTAGCCGCTGGCAGCCACCCCATACACGGAATGCCTGTGTGCATGTGGGGCTGGGTCGCGTGTGTGTGGGGCGGGGGTAAAAGGACAGTGTCCTTCGCCTGACACAGCAGCACGTCTCGGGCCAGTGCTGCGCCCTGCAGAGGGTGCTGGCAGCTGCGGGGAGGTTCCAGCGTGACAGCTGAGCTGGAAGAGGCCCATCTCCGTGCATCCTAAGCACCAGGCTGGAGAAGAGGATTCAAGATGAGCTGTTGACAGAGCAAGGGTCTTGGAAAAGACTGGGGGGGGGGGCTACTGCAGCTGCCCCTGCTTCCTCAGTGATTCCAGTGGGTCCTTCCTCCTCCTGCGTGAAAGGGTACCCTGGGGCCAGGCAGGTGCGAGGACGACCAGTCCACGTGTCCACCTGGCCAGTTGCCGCCAGGCTCTGGGCAGTGGCGCGGTGTGGCCAGGGCTCGCACTTCGTGGCTAGCAGCTGCTGATCCCCTCCTCTGCCAGCTTCCTCAGACTTCCCCGAACCTCCGAGCTCTACGGAACATCTCACAGCAAGCTGAAGGGGGTCGAGGAAATGAGTGCTCTGAGACATAAAACACTGCTCCCCGTTGTGCTGGGATGGATTCGGGAATGGCTCGGTCTTGGGTGAGCAACAAGGGCCCACCAGCTTCACAGAAAGCCCTGCTGCTGGTGGAGAGGAGAGTGGCTGAGTCTGGGGGGCTGCTCTGGGCCGGCGGAGCGCCCTGTACCTGGGGCCTCCCAGAAGCGCAGTGGGGAGGGGGGCTGCTGCGTCCCTGCACTGAGCTCGCCACAGCTGCTCTGGAGAGCTGCAGGCCAAAGGAGGAGAGCGAGAGGCACAGCAGAGCTAGGGAGGGGCTCAGGAGAGTGGCCAGCCCCCTCCGGTGGGGCATCCCTGTGGGGTGCTCCTCAGGTGCCCCCGGCTCGTCTGCGGGTGTGAGGCTTGCTGTGAGCTCTGTTTCAAAGAGATCCTCCGGGGTGGGCTGCAGGCCTGAGCACAAGCCATCTCTCTGCCCCCCGTGGGTGCTTGCGCTTCCCAAAGAACATGCAGGAAGTGGGAAGGGCCTCCCACCTGGAGCATCGCCACTGCTTGGCTGTCACAGGCCTTGCAAAATGCATGTGACCCACACTCCCCCTTGCTTGGCAGCCGTCAGCAGGCAAGTGGGGATGAAGCGCAACGAACAAATGCGGTATGGAAGCGTCCACCAAGCGGTGTTCCTAAGGAAGTGCCCGGTATGAACACGGCTGGAACATGGAGCGAGAAGCCGGTCAGCTTTCCCATTGTTGCAGCTGCAACATTTCCCATCAAGAAATGTGAATTCTGCAGCTTGCATAAATTCCAGGAAGCAAGAGATTTTGCCTGTCTACCTCCACCCATTCTGTTTGATGCATCCCGCTTCTGCTAGGGGTGGAGAGGATCATGGAAATATGCCGGAAGTCCTGCTCAGCCCCTTTCTGGCTTCTGAAATTTTAGCAGGCATCACCTAAATGCATTCAAATCAACTTTTGCAACCAGAAGGGTCTTAAGCATAGGGTTGTGCTTTTGAAGAGCGCGCCCTCGGAAGCTGAGCCACGGAAGCGTTTTTGCTCTTTGATGCACAGTCCTGGCCTGGCTGCACACACCAAAGGGCTGCTCATGGCAAACGTGCACCCTTTTCTCACTCTTCTGTGCGAGAGCCAAAGAGGTGATGTGCCTCTTTCCTGGCACAAAGACAAGGCATGGATCCACCCCATCAAACCCCTTCCTCTCCACCAGGGACTGCAGCTGCCTTTGGCCTCACAGGCCAGTCTCTTCCACCCACTTCGCTGTAGCTAATGTCCCCGGGAAAGAATACATCGCACGACGCCTCTTGCACACCTGTTCTCCTGGTTCCACCTGGGCTGGGAAAACCATGATGGGGATTTAGTTGACATCTTGCGTGCTCCTTCTGTGCTTGGCTATTAAAAATGTCTCCCCCTAATCCTCCCTCTCTCCTCCCAGAAGGATTTTTTGAGCCCCCAAATCAGTTCGTCCTTGCTTTCTGGCATCTCTGCACTGGCCTCTGGCTTTTGATCTGGGAATATTTATTGCCGAGTGCTTCTCCGGCTGCGGCTCCAGAGGAAAACCTGCACAGAGACATGTCTGCATCTGGGGCCAAGGAGAAAGGCTTTGAGGAAGGTTGATGGTGGGAAAGGGCACGAGGTTGCTGGGAGAGGGAGGGAGAAAAGGCACGCTAGATGCGGATTCCCGAGAGAGCGCCCTCCAGACTCCCAGCAACTGGTGGATCCTGCGAGGTAACAGCCACAGAGACACCACAAACATAATATATTGCCTTATACTTTACTTATATAATCTAGAGTTATTGGTCCATCTATCTCACTGACCCAGCTCCCCTGGGTTGCAGCACCTTGTATGAATGGAAACATGGGGTCAGAAAGCCCCTGCAGGCAGACCATCTTGGCCAGCACAGAGAGAACTTTCCCCAGGATTACTAAGTCCCCAAGCAAATCACTACACCTTCTTCTGTCTTAATACCCAGTCTTGAAAGTAGGGTGGCCCTGTATCCTACTTCAGAAGTGCAGTCCTCCAGTAGGAGCGGGGTCTTGCTACCCAAGGCAGGGACACAAGGCAGGCTGAGTGCCCATGCAGTGCCGGTTCCAGCACCCGTTTACAGTATCTCCACACCCAGCATCCTCTGTTTGGAGGGTGTCCAAGTCCAGAGCCAATTTAAAGGTAAAGAACCCCAGGAAGGAAGAACAGAGGGGCCTTCAAGCTGCCCGTCAGCTGGAGTCCTTGGCCAGCAGATGCAGGGAGCCACAGAAGCACAGATGACGGCCCAGCCACTGTCCCTCCACTGCAGGGAGGTGCGTTGTCCTTCTGTTATCGTTATTTTGCATCCATATGTTTCGATCAGCATATGCACATTGCGTAATCTATGTATGGGTGTGCAAGCTGGGCTTTCTTCCTGAAGAAAGCCGACAGGAAGAAAATGGACGCGCTGGGGAAATGGAGCTGGGGGAGAGCTCTGTGAATACCCTGCACTGGCAGAAAGAAAACCAGAGAAGCACCAGTGACAAAGCTGATGAGGCGATCGTACTTAGGGCGTATCACGGGAAGGCACAACTTGGTGGTGCCAGGGAAAGCTGAGAGCAGGCAAAGACGAGAAAGAGCAGCTATGAGCTGGAGTGACTCCAATAGGGAAGCCACTGGGTTTGCAAGAGCTAAGCAGGGCTGCCATAGACGGGACATTCTGGAAGGCTCACATTCGTGGGGTTGTCATCAGTCAGAGACAACTTGATGACACATCACCCCCCCCCCC